ATAAAGTCCACATCGTTCACGACTATAGGAATGGGAGAGCTCCAGGAAACATTTATCTCAAACGAAGTAAAGATCACACTGAAAGCATTGCGCAGCTACAAGAGACTGCAGAATCTGCCAGTATTCACCCTAGAACGGCTGACATCGTCAACCAAAACCGCACATCTCTCTGACGCGGACCGAAGTTTTATCAAACGAGAGAAGATCACCATCGCTCAGCATAGCCTGAAATCGCCTAAAGCCACTCCTGCGCTTTACCAAGTCATCTGCTATGACAATCCTGCTATGGTCCTTCCATCGGGACTTATTTTAACTCCAACGATATTCGGCTACACGATTTCTGGAAAAAGCAGGATCCAAAGAGCCTTAGTGAAAGGCGGGCTCGTCTGTAGCTCTCATTTCGTTGCTATGCCGAGTGCGGCAATCGCGCACAAGTTGAAAGAGAAGTCCAACCTCGAAGCCCATTTCGGACCTGTGTAATGCACATCCTCGCCCTACGAAGAGGAAGAGTCCACCATTACGAAAGAAACGTCGAAAAGAAACGAAGCAGACGTGTACTACCAGGAAACAATGTGGAGTGATGTCTGATCACTCCTCCATCAACATCCCGCCAAAGATTACCTATGACACTGCCACGATTACGAAACGTCACAGAAGCAACGACTGGTGCAACTATTCTGGCAGTGACCTACAGATGTCAACGTAACAAACGAGGACGAAGGGAATCAACTGCTACGTCTAACTCTTCAGTTCAATCGCCGATGAAGAACAACTTCACATGAAAACTCTGTGGTTGAGTAGATGCCGTAATTTTGAATGTAATCACTTATTTATCCCGTGATTATTTTTGAGTGCCTGGCGCACACTGTGATTTCAGCATTTGACTTCGTCATGATGTTATGTTATTTATTCTTTCGAATTATCATACTGAGCTACCGCTCATTTCGCCCCCGCCCCAGTGTTGTGGATTCACAACCCTTCAAGTAGTATATTATAGAGTCAGCCTATCAGAGTGAATGATAACATATTAGCCAACTCAATTGCACTCCGAAGATAAGCACCCCTCGAAATCGTACCGCAGGCATGACCTAGCGGTATCGTAAGTGTGTCATTGAGTAGATACTCTACATGTTCCCGTTGGCGCGGTGCGCTCTTTCAACTCTTATTTTAAGTACCGCCATCGGTACGATACCTGAGCACCGCCCACATTCGCCTGTATATAAGCCTACTTTTTAGTGCATTTATGTCGGTCATACGGTTCGGTACGAACACGTCGTAATAAATCTTACACGTGCGAGTACTTTCATTGGTTAAACACCAGGTATTTTGGCGCCGCGCCACAGGCGCCGGGGCCAAAATACCCTAAATCACCAAAATCGATGAAAACTTGTATACGGGGGTTATTTGACATCCTGTTTACGAATATGATATTTATTCTTGGCGCCAGCGCTAACGTAGGACACTATGGTCATCTGCGCTTTGCTAAGACTGAGCCTGACCTGAGGGAAATCTTCCCTTTTTCTCAGTTTCAGCCTCAGCAGAGTGCCAAATAGCGCTGGTATGGAAAATGATGTCACACTCGTGATCAGGACATCGAATAACATCTATAGACAAAGTTTCAGCATAAATTTTTTTGAGTTTTTGGCGTAGGAATAGTTCAATAGCGCCCAGTTCTCTTTATTGTCATTTTCTTCGTCCCTTTTGCGCTTCTTTTCATTTGTACCCTCGTGACAGGGGGGTCGTATTAAGACCCTTATTTGGGGGGGTCGTAATTTAGCGGGAAATGATCACAACGCGATGGTGTGCCCTGGCTCTAATAAAGCACTTCGTCCTGAAGCTGTAACAGAATTCCTAGTAAGCTGCTGCGCGACACTTTCTTTTTTTGCGTATTTTCCCAATATCCTTGTACACTATTGGGGAAACTGCTGAAAATACTGCGACAATGTGATGAACAGATAAACTTCCTAATTCCCGCGCTTCAAAAAATTCTGGTCTCTAGATACAAAGCATCCAAGGGAAACGTCGAGGTCGAATCCCTGAACTTGATGACCGCTGATATGGGAAAGGTAAAATTGTTCGTTGAGAAAAACGAATCATTTGCCATTGATGTATCTTTCCTTTCCTTCTTTGCTGCACATATTCTACTTCAATTCAGATTCCTATGGTACTTTGAATGAGATTTGACCCATCCAGTCTTGCAGGACAGGAGCATATCTCCAACAAATTTGGAAACTTCGTATAGCATATCAGCTCGTGATATTCAACGAGCAAATTTGAACTATTATAACCAGCATCACAGACACCATCTACTGGGTTACTATATGTTTCTGACAACTCCTTATAGACAATTCAATCAAGAAATAAGACCAAAGCTAATTCAAACAAGATAGAAGCTAATCATTACCGTCAACCACTCGTTTCCACACAAAAACAAACTGTCGAAGCGAATTATATATATGGGGTGATATATGAGGCTACAGAAGAGAAGAGTGGCCAAATTCATAGCCTGGTTGCAGCAGCTGTAGGAAATCATTTCCAGCAGTTGATATTGGGAGTGGGAGGGATACTGTTGGTGGGTGGAAAAAAATTGCAATGACTGATAGGGATTGATAAGGAGCGTTGCCACCATCTTCGCTCTTCAAGGCGGTATTGGTTTCTTAGTGCCAAATTTAGAAGGTTCAGGGGTACGGACTTTCAATGACAGGTGACAAGTAATTATATCAGTTGATAAGATTGGATGAAGTGCTATCCTTACTACATGTCTTGAATCTGTACTGCCTAGAAGGGATCTGCCGTTATTCCTAATGCTGGCAACGTTGAACAAGGGGAGGGTGTATATTGTGCGCCTGGAAGGGAATAATCAAAAAATCATGTAGAAGCCACCTACACCCTTCGAAACAAGGACAATGCCTTAAAAAAGATTGTTCGCAGTCACTATGAAAGGGGGAAGAGAAAGGAAGAGAGCGAAGATGTGCTTTTGGTGGTGAGCTCCAGGTTGCCCAAGTGGTACGGTATGGCATGGAGAAGGCAGAATTACGTTCGCTTTTTTAGTTACGTTCAGGAATCCATAGTTATGCCTGTTTCGGAGGCAAGACGTTGTACACTGCAAGTCGGAACTGCTTCTACTCCAATCCTTTGCCCTATCGCTACAATGTTCACAACTCAATGGTACCCTTCTCGAGGGGGTCACGGTTGAAAACGTGTAACGGATCAATGATACAAAACAGTTCACGACTTCCCTTCCTGCGTTTGGATTGACCTATAATCATTTGTAAGATTTTCACATCCTAGCCTGCTCGAAATCTGGGTGGCCGAGCCGGGCGGACACACAAGGATTATAAGCGCTGGCGACAGCTGGGCGATCCGTCTAGTGTATATTTTATATCGTTAGAATGATTGGTGGTTCCGGTTTATAAAAAAAACATTGCGCTTTTTCTTCTGATGGCTCGCTGGCTCAAGGGGTATTTTGGATGTGGAACATTCTTAGTCGTCTAAGGATACTCTCCGCATTTGACCCCTCCCTGAGTAGCAAGGGCATTCGGGGGAGGGGGGGGGGGGTGCCACCCTTAAGAATTGTTTGATCGTGTGAAATGCGTTTACACTTATCCTGCTATGTAAATCCGCTCAGTATGTCTTAAGTGTGTTTTTGTGTGGAAACGAGTGGTTGACGGTAATGATTAGCTTCTATCTTGTTTGAATTAGCTTTGGTCTTATTTCTTGATTGAATTATCTATAAGGAGTTGTCAGAAACATATAGTAACCCAGTAGATGGTGTCTGTCATCCCCACCTTGACCCGACCTCTCCAACTCGTTCTTCAGGTCGAACCGAATTTCGAATTTCGAACGGACAGACAAGCAAACTTATAGAGGTGAGGATTGTGGGGCAAAAACATTGTGGGCGGAGCCTGCTCCGAGGTGGGCGGAGCCAGACAAAAAGGTCTGTAAAACGGTTCCAGAGCACTCCGAAGACCGGAATAAAGTGAATTCAGGTCAGCAAGGGGTCGCCGATTGAGAAATGTGGGGTATACATATTGTGGGCGGGGCCAGCCCGAGGTGGGCGGAGCCAGACGAAAATTCTCTAAAACTGTCCCAGAGCACTCCGAAGACCGGAAAAAAGTGGATTAAGGTCAGCAGAGGGTCGTCGGTGAGGATTGTGGGGCACAAAAATTGGGGGCGGGGCCTGCTCCGAGGTGGGCGGAGTCAGACGAAGAATCTGTAAAATAGCTCAAGAGTACTTCAGACACCGGAAAAAAGTGGAGTACAGAACAAAAGGCGGATATCAGTTGAGTCTAGAAATATGTGAAAGAAAATACGCGCGGCGAAGCCGCGCCCGCCCGGCGCAGCCGGGCCGTATCAGAAGGAGGCGCCGGCGTTCAGCCGGCGAGCCGACTGGTATGATATAGGATATGGGCCAGGAACATCATTAGTGGGTCACAAAAAGCTGTAAGCTGCTGATAAGATTCGATAAGGGGCCTTAGAAGAATGTCACCATATTAATGAACTGTGATCTGCTGATAAGATTCGATAAGGGGCATTAGAAAAGTGAGGTCATCGTATTCATAGCGCAGGTCACAGCATCAGCGGGCATGCGTTTCAGCAAGTGATATAGAGGGTGAGATGAGGACATCAACCGTGGGTGACTGGAAGCGATAACTACTGATAGGGGCTGATAAGAGAAATTGCAGTCGTCGTCACTGTTCAAGGTGGTTCACGCTACCAAATCATAGAGATTTGGTGATGAGGACATTGATGACGGGTGACAGGTAATCTTATCAATCGATAAAAACAGATAAGATACCATCTGCGCTACATTTTTATCACTTTCTTACCGCTTAATGCCGAGTATTAGAGGCTCAGTGTGTGAACCCTTTCCTTTGATGGCAACAGAGTCAAGGTCGTCCAATGAAGTGTTTGCTTTTAGATGCATGCAATGCTGTCGAGCGGGGAGGGGGGTATATAGTGCAGCTGAAACGGGAAAATCGAGAAATTCACCAATCAAAAAAATTTTCGCAATTCTGCCTGTTATGTTGTTATGTGATGTGTGTTAGGAGGTGGCGGTCGCAACTGAAGCAAAATAAGGAGGGAACCCAACAACTGGGAGTGGGAGCGTCCTGTCGGTGGTCATTCGAGCTCTCCGTGTCCGTGCGACACAAACTTTTATATGTACAAGCAATGTGGAGTTCTCCTTTTCAGTGCCACCCATTACTCTGCAGTTATGCCGTTTCCGGTTGGGTGGTAGGACTCATCCGGACTAATTCAACTTTACCTATTCTGTTGCCGCAACTGCGGTCCTTAATGATATGGTGCAGCCTTCCCACCGTTGAAAGTCTGGGGTAGGCAAGAGGGACCAGATGTTGTAGATTATGACTCACGTGAAGCTATTTTTCCAGCCATTTTCCTGCATTCAATAAAAAATTGCGGTTCATCATTTTTGACTTAGGATCTACCTCGCCAAGGGAACAGTGCCTGCGAAGCCAGGT